TCTCTCTCTCTCTCTCTCTCTCTCTCTCTCTCTCTCTCTCTCTCTCTCTCTCTCTCAAAATGCTTAGTTCATAGTATGTTTTTATTTGAATTCTTTTGCCTTTTACGTAAGAAGTTAACATAGTAAGACTACTCTCTGGGAAGAGCTACTGATTTTACACTGTGCCTTGAATTGAGTGACTACTTTAGGATAAACTAGCATACATTAGAAGGATTCCTTTAGTAGTTCATGTTCTTAATTTGATTTAGTGAATAATGAAGTTTAGAAAGAATTGCTTTAAATTGCTTTATTTCCAGTCACAATCACTTTATTTCTTTGAGAACATTTGAATCTCAAAACAAAAATTTTCTTCAGTGTTTTAATACATCATATCAAGGTATTGTATTTACTTTTTTTCATTAATGAGCAGACTTTAGAAAGTTCTTTAACTATCAGGGGGCCCTGCTGTTACCTGTTTTTGATTAATTTGGTTAAGCCACTCTGCTTTCTCATTAGAAAAATAAATGAGTTCAGTTTAATTTGTCTTTCTCTGGTCTGAGGAAGTTTGGGATTTCTACTACTTAATTTTTTTTTTTACCCCTAACTGTAAGTCATTGCACAAGTGGAATGTGTTTCAAATATTGAATGTCGAACTTGATAATTCAAGCAAATCATTTTGTACCCGATTTTCATATTCCCATAATTTATTTTCAGAGGGACTACAATGTATATTATGTAGCAAAAACTTTTTTCCAGCTTTTATACCAAAAGTATATATACAGGAAGTAACATCTATGTCATGGGTAGTCTTTAAAAAATTGCTACCCAATGTTTTTCTTAGTTGGGTGTGACAGTACACACCTCTAGTTCCAGCTTCTTGGAAGGCTGAAGCAAGAGGATGCTTTCATCTCAGGAGTCAATGTTGGCAGCACAGCAAGTCCTCAACACACACACACACACACACACACACACACACACACACACACACAGAGGGAAGGAAAGAAAAAAAGCTTTTCTTGGCAGCATAGCAAGTCCTCAACACACACACACACACACACACACACACACACACACACACACACACACACACACACACAGGGAAGGAAAGAAAAAAAGCTTTTCTTGCCAGGTGTGGTGATACATGTTTGTAATCCTGTCACTCAGGAGGCTGTGGCAGGAGGTTTGCAAGTTCAAAGCCCGCCTGGACTATATTACTAAGACCCTGTCTCAGCCCCTTCCCACCAAGGAAAAGACTTTATGTGCAAATTACTTTTTGTGATAATTATTGCCTCCCTTCCTAGGATTTGTCTTAACCTTATTGGAAAGAATAATGAACGTCCAAGATACAGCCTTTCTGTGGATAACAGCTTTCAGGATAGTCGTTGTTTACCATTTATCACATTACGCATATTGATGTTTTGTTTATTTTGGGGTTGCTGTGTATGTACAGCACAGTGTGTGTTAATAATGCATCAGGGCAGCAAATGTTAAGGGTTTAGATTTTAAGTCTACAATGCTTTGCATATTGTTTATTCTTGTGATGTTTTTCTTCTCTTTCACTTTAGGGCTGTATTCTTCATTTCCTGTTGAAGTTCCTCTGAATCACAAACGGTTTGTTTGTGATCTGACCCAAGCAGATCGTCTTGCCCTTTATGATTTTGTTGTTGAGGAAACAAAGAAAAAGCGCTCTGATTCTCAAATCATTGAAAACGACAGTGATCTCTTTGTAGATTTGGCTGCCAAAGTCAATCAAGGTTTGAGATAAATATCATACTTCATGTTTCTTATTGTCATTCTGTTCTGTGAGCATTAAGGTGATTTATTATCATGCCATTTTGAACTGGGACGAGACGGTTGTGTCATGTGATATTGACATATATATTGAGATATTCGATGTATGAAGTTTTACTCTGACTTATATTAAGTATCTTTCTTCTGTGAAACTGTTATTTACAATTGTGCTGTTATTTTTATCTATGGACATAAATAAACTTTCTTATGTTCAGCTGATGGCTAGAGGAAAAAAAAAACAAAACACAATATAAAACAGCCCAGATAGAAGGAAGAGTTTTTAGAGAGTTCTTGTATACTGCCTTGAAGCATGTTGCTGTATAGGAGGACTGTGTTTCCACCTGTTGATTGTTTTCTTCCTTTTTCGTTTTTGGAGACGTCATCTCACTACATAGCTCAGACTGGCCTTGAACTCACAGTTGTCCTTCCTTAGCCTCCTGAGAGCTAGGTTATGGGTGTGTACCACCATGCCAAACTCTCTGTTAATTCTAAAAAATTTAAAAACTCTTAAAGATATAATCATTTACGGCCAGGGATTTAGCTCAGTGGTTCTGCCGCCTGCCTTGCAAGCGCAAGGTCCCAAGTTCAATCCCCAGTACCCCCCCCAAAAGATATAATCATTTCATTTTATTCTTTCATCAGATAATAGTCGGAAAAGTCCAAAATCTTATCTTGAAATCCTGGCAGAAGTTAGAGATTATAAGAGAAGACGCCAGTCCTATAGAGCTAAGAATGTTCATATAACCAAGAAATCATACACTGAGGTAAGTTTTACATAAGCAGGGAGAACTTTGTTGAGAACACAGATTTCCTGTCGATGGTTTTCTAAATTTGTTCTGTGGGTTTCCTCAGCCCCTTGGAAGGTGTCAGAGGAAGTGTCCTCAGGATGTCCATTCCTGATTGGTGTTTGCCCTTTTTCAGACTCACCCTCTACTGGACAGAGAGGTTCCTCAGTGTACAAAAACCTTATATAAAGAAGTTACACATGCACATACAAACGAAGTTGCAAAGTCTTAAAAAATGCCTGCGTTCAAGAAAGCTTGAGTTTTGATTGTGCTGTTTATCATTGGTTGTGTGGCTTGATCAGGTTGAGCTTTTTAGATAATTTTTAATGAGAGCTCAGAAATTTCTCATGTATTAAAAAATTCACCTTTACACATCAAATGACATCTGAAAATAATCAACACAAAGAGTCTGATGCATAATTTATACTAAGACACTTCTTAAGCCCAAATACTTAGTAAAGTGCATAGAAGCACATTAGGAATTCTGCCCATAAAAACTAATATTTACTGAGAAATTTCTGTGTTCTCAGGCATTATTTCAATAAGTTCTCATAATAACCCTGTGAAGCTTATATGATTATAAAATGAAAAAAATCAAAACTCAAAAGTAAGATCTGGGGCTGGGGATTTAGCTCAGTGGTTCCACCACCTGCTTTGTAAGTGCAAGGTCCCAAGTTCGATCCCTGGTACCAAAAACAAACAAAAAAGTAAGATGTTACTGACACAAACATGCATGTTCTCACCATGATGCAGTACTACTTTGGTGGTTATTTACTTACGTACTTATTTATTTTTTGGCGGGGGGGTTTGAGACAGGGTCTCAATATGTAGTTGAGACTGACCTGGAACTCTCTATGTAGCCTAAGCTGGTTTCAAACTCATAGGGATCCTCCTACCTCAACCTCCTGAGTTCTGGGATTATAGGCATGTGCCACCACGCCCAACTTGTTAGTTATTTTTTTAAGTTTGTACATCTTCTTTACAGAATTGTTTTCCTGATTTCTTTTTCTGCTAGTATATTATTGATGGACCGTAAAGCTATTGATTGATGTTGGTTTTATGCTTCGCTGCATTGCTGAATTCATTTGTTAGCTCTAAAAGTCTCTTGGTGTTTTTGCCATTTTTAACTTTGCTGAGTGTAAGAGCTGTTGTTTCTGTGAAGTGCTGCTTGACTGAGCCATTGTGAGAATGTTCTGCCCTATACTGCTCAGTGTGAAGTTTTATGTTATTTTTTTTTTTTAACTGTAAACTTTTATTTTTTATTAGTACATAATCTTTACATTCCTTGTGTGGAGTTGATACATGCACATAACACATTTTAATTGTTTTCATTCCCTTTTCCTCCCTTCCCATGCCTCTCTTTTCTTGATCCCCTTCTGAAAAAAATTGATCTCCCTACTTCCTATTATCTTTTATTTTGCTCTTTATTTATATTTTGGGTTTCTCATATAAGAGAAACCCTGCCATATTTAAGCTTGTGTGTCTGATTTATTTCCCTTAACATTGTGGTCTCAAGGTGCATCCACTTTGCTACAAATGACTCAACTTTATCCTTCTTTATGGCAGAGTAGTGCTCCGTTGTGTGTAAATACCACATTTTCTTTAGCCATCTGTTGATGGACATATAGGCAGCTTCCATATTTTAGCTACTATGAATTGGGCTGCTATAAACATGAGTATGCATGGATCACTGTAGTAGGATTTTTTCCATTGCTTAGGGGTACATTTTAGGTAGACAGTACAGTCACATTCATCACTTCATTGTCTTATTTTTGTTGGCTGGGCTAGAACCTCAACTTTGAAAAATTATAGCAAGAAATCATTACACACTCTAGTTACCATGCATAACACAGTGCCATGTGGTATGCAGAGATAAACAGTGCCCAGACCTCACCCTCAAGCTCACAGTTTAATAAGCACACTCAGAAATTCAGTGCTCAAACAGCTGGAATAAAGGTGTGTGGGAGGTGGGAGTGGCTTTTTAAAAGGTAAATTGGTATGAGCTTCATAGAACAGGTGGCATGTGAAGGAAAGGGAGAAGTGAGGGTGGTCTGTGCCTTGGCCCTTGCCTGTGTGGCAGACCCGTGCTGGGTGGGTCCCATGCCAAGGCAGTGCTGGTGCTGGAGTCTGACTGGCAGTGGGGGCGCTTGTGCCACTGTCCCGAGTCAGGCTGTGGTTGTAGGTTTCCCACGGGAGACCTGGGAGAGGGGAGGTGGGGCTGGGCTTTTCCAGGTGGGAGTGGGAGCTTTTTAGAGACTCAGAGTGAGGCATCCAGGGCAGCCATGGCTCAGGGCTTCTGGAGAGCTGTTCCATGAGGCGGGCAGGCCCCTGCTGTGGGATATGGGAGGGGGCGGGGCTCTTAGGGTCCCGGTAGGAGTGCAGACCCTGTTCCTTTTCACTTTGGCAGCTACTGGAAATTTCTCCACAGCAGGGAAAACACAGCATCTTTGAGATCACCCTTGTCCCTGCTGCCTTTTTACTTCGCCTGGCACCGTGACTTCTTGGCTCTCAGTAAATTCTTGGTTGCTTGTTAGCAGTGGTTTTTCTTAATTTTTGTGAACAACTTTGGAATCTGAAATTTGGTGCTTACTTCTCCCAAGGTGATTCGGGATGTAATAAATGTGCACATGGAAGAACTCAGTAACCACTGGCAAGAGGAGCAGGAAAAAGCTGAGGGCGACACCGAAAAGTATGTCATTGTCTTTATTGGGAAAAACATTGCCTTTGTTTTTATTTTGCCTATTTGCGGTGCTGGGGATCAAGCCCAGGGCCTTGGGTGTGATGAGCAGGAGCTCTGCCACTGCGCCACGTCCCTGCCCAGTGGATTCCTCTTCAGTCTGGTACCTCTGAGTGTTAAATGGTAGCAGTTTTGAGACCCTTAGTATCCTAAACCATGAGGATTATTGTTCATGGTCAGCAGTGCTCAGAATTTTACTAGAGTCATTCTGTGATGCTGTCAGTCTTGGAGGCAGACAGTTGGAGAAACAACCATGTTACTGAAATAGTTTAAAAGGAAAACATGATAGGGGCCAGGGATTTAGCTCAGTGGTTCCTCCGCCTGCCTTACAAGCACAAGGACCTGAGTTCGATCGCCGGTACCAAAAGAAAAGAAAACATGACAGGAGTGGTTGTCCGACTGTGTCTTCTGGGGGATCTCGGGATGCGGGGTAGTGGACCCTCTGTGGCTGTGTAGTGGAGACCAGGGGAGGACGAGCTGGTTCACTTCCTGTCTGCTTCTCAGGAGCGAAGAGAGGCGCTCGGCTTCAGTGGATTCACGGCAGTCTGGCGGGAGCTGTCTGGACCCTGAGAGTTCACGCCGCAGGAGGGATCGGAGCAGGAGCCCACAGAGACGGAAACGAAATAGAGATAAGGATAAAAACTCTGAGTCCAGAAGGAGGAAGGAGAGGTGAGTCTGCATCCTCTACCCCTGAGCTCATACCCGCCTGTGACTTGATACTCAATTTGGAATGAATTCTCTGGTTGTCTATCATTTTATTTTGTTCAGAGTTAATTTTAAAGCTGAACTCTGAAGTATAACTTTGTTTTGCTTACTCCTGTTTCAGTTTTTTCTTAATTGTAAGAATTGATTTTCTATTTACTCTTCCAAAATTACTATTCAGTGCTAATCACACATTTCAACCTGTCATGATTCATGTCTGATGAGAGTATGTTACTACTGAATTAGTTTAAAGTGTTGATATAAACACATCCATGATTTATAATCCTTTTTTTATACCCCTTTTGTTTCAGGGATGGGGAAAGACATCATAGTCATAAAAGAAGAAAGCAAAAAACATAAATGAACCTTTGTATGTGTAATTAATTATGCTCATGTCATTACATCCAATTTGCTACTTTAATTGTAATTGCTTTGCCTAGCAGAGTGTGTTTAAAAATGAATTATTTCGTGCTCAATATTTTTCAATAAATACTTATGCTTCAAATCATGCATTTACTTTATGCTGTACAACTTTATTTTCCTTATATTTAATAGATACTTTCTTATTACTGACTTTTGTCTCACCATGGTAATTTATGTATCATTCTTTTTAAGAGGTTAATAATTAAAATACATGAATTATACATATATTCTCAGTGTACAAATTAACCCTTACAGATAAGGCTAAAGTGTGCTTGGAGCACCCGTAGGTAATTACCCTGTATCGCTCCACTGGTGAATTGTGGCGGGGGGGAAAAAAATGTAAGTAGCTGTCTAAAGGGGTGTGGCCTGGCTACCTTCCATGGTGTGATCCTAACATAGATTTCTGTTTGTATTTAAATAACCCCAGTCTGCGTTAATGTGGGTAGAGCTCAGAAACATGATACTAAGAGGTAATGGTAAGTTATGTAGGATGTTAGATCTGTCTACCAGACAATACTGTGTATTTCCTTTGGCTGTATATGTACGTGAATTTATTTTTAAAAGTTCAGAATAATCAATATCAAACTCCTAGCAAGGCTATTTATGGGGGAGGGATATATGTATATTATATATATGAGAGAGAGACGGGTGGAAACCAGATTTGGAAGGTAGTCAAATTTTAGCTTTCTTGATAATAATTTTTTCAAAATGAGAAAATATTTATGCTTCATGTTAATTAAAAATTCACTGTCCTTTTATGTCTTTCAATCAACTTTACTGATGTACTATCTACATTAAAAAGCATCCATTTTGCATGTATCTTGAGTCTTGTCAAATTTATACCTTGTGTAACTGTTACAATCAAGATGTAGATTATTCCATTGCCCCCAGAAGTTCCCTTGGACCCCTTTTCCCAATCTGGTCTTCTACCCCAGTTGTAGGCAGCCAAAGATCTGCTTTCTTTTTTTTTTGGTACTGGAGATTGAACTTGGGTCCTTGCACTTGAAAGGCAAGTGGCAGAACCACTGAGCTAAATCCCCGGCTGCTTTTTTTTTTTTTTTTTTAAACCATTGATTTGATTTATCTTTTCTAGAATTCATGTAAATGGAATCCTCCTGTGTACTCTGCCTTTTTCCATTTCATAGGTTTTTGAGGTTGGTCCAGTTAGGTGTCAGCAGTCCATTCTTCCCTGTTGCTGAATAGTAAGTTCTATTGTATTATTGAAGCAGTCAGATGAAACTTGGGAATTAAATATTAAGTGACAGTAGTTTTGGTATTTTAAAACCAGTTTACAAGTTTCACTTCTAAAGAAAATGAAACTTTATTATTTGAATAGGTAAGACAGGTTGATTTGATTTGGATCAGATTAGCTGTTGGGTTTTGAGTGTGAAAGACAGCTCTCAGATTTTTATATACATATATATATTTTTTTCTTTTTTCTTTTTTGCGGGGAGGTACTGGGGATCAAACTCAGGACCTCGCGCTTGCGAGAAAAATCCCTGGCCTTTTTCAGATTTATATTTAAAAGTCTTTAAAATGAGACCTTAAGAGTTGTTATAATTATTAGCACTTTCTTATTGTGTGACTCAATTTTTAATTTTAAGAAAGATGATAATTTCTACCACTTGGAAGAACTGCAGAGTAAAACTGGCTCATTTAGTTATTTTTTTATATAAGACAGAAGTGGGGAGGAAGAATGGGGTGGGGGAACTGGGGAACAATAGAATAGTACAGAGAAAGGAAAACATCTAAAAGGTAGAAATGTAGTTAGAGTTCTTTAAAATCTAAATTTTTTTGGGGGGGGGTACCGAGGATAGAACTCGATCTTGCGCTTGTGAGGCAGGTGACGGAACCACTGAGCTAAATCCCTGGCCAATAAAATCTAATTTGTTAAAAGCAGAATTAACTCCTGACACTTATCAGTAAAATGTAGAGTTACATGAAAAGAGGCATTTTTGTTGTTGCCCTTTGCATAGAGGTCTTAGGCTCCCTCTAAGTCTACTGACAAGACCAGAGTGGTTTCTTCTGCCACCAACTTGTGAGCAGCTGAGGCATGAATGGATTTGACCCTGGCAGGCACCCCACGAGGCAGACACCTCTAGTCCTAGTTCCACGGCTCAACGACGCAGATAGGCCGCACACCCTGGCATTTCCCCCTATCTACTGGCTCCAGTCTGAAGACCTTTACATCAGTACGTGATTGCCTGGATGTGTGCACATTCTGTTTCCTGGTATGATATACTTACAGGGGAAAAATAAGATGGTAACTCCATCTTCCAAAGACTTCGTTTGAGAAGTGTCTTGTAAATACACGTTATGGTGCATGGTTTGTCCCTGAAAGGTTTGTGTGCTGGAAACTTGGTTCCCAGTTTGACCTTTTTGATGGCAGAACCATTAAGAGATGGGGTCAAGTAGAAGAAAAGTAAGTCCTGGGGCTCCACCTTTGTGAATCTGGTCTCAGCGGAGTGAGGACTAGCAAGTGAATGCCTACAAGAATGGGTAGCTGTACAACAGGTTCAGTTCTCTGGGCTCCCGCCTTGCATATACAGCCCAGCCCCTCTGTGCTTCTCTGGCACATTAGAATGCAGCCAGAGCACTCATGAGGACAGCAGCCTTGTGCTGTTTGGACTTCCCAGCTACCTGAATTAGGAGCCAAATCAACCCCTGTACTTGAGCGCAGTGCTATAGAGAGTGGTAAAAGCCTGAAGAGGTAAGTCACTGGGGACGTGTCCTGCAAGGGGCTATTGGGACCCACACCTTCCTGTCTCTGTTTTCGCTTCCTGCCCGTGGTGGTGTGAATAGATTTCCTCCACCATGCCATGAGGCCCTTTGCTGCCACAGATCCAAACAGCAGGGCCAAGCACCGTGGATGAAAACCTCTGAAACCGTGAGCCAGAAAAGATGGGTTTTCTCCTTTTATGTTAATTATCTTAGGTGTTTGGCATAGTGATGGAAAGATGACTAACTTTCCTCAAACCCTTTGAGAAAGGAAACCATAATAATAATGATAATGTTAGCATCATTATAGGACATTTACTGTATACCAGGCACTTTCTGTGACTTCTCTATCTTTTTCCCTTTCTTCCCTCCTCTTCCTTTGCTTTCCTTCTTTTCTTTTTTACAGTACTGGTGATTGATCCTAGGGAGCACTGAGCTGCGCCCCCAGCCCTTCCTGGCTTAGCTGAGTCACTAGAATCACGGGTGTTCACCAGCACACCTGCCATATACATTATTTCTGTTCCTCGTGGAATCACTGTATGGTACACAGCCCACTTCCTTGTCCTTTGGGATTTCTGATTGCTTGTTTGGAGGTGCTAGCAGGGGAGCACAGCTGCTCATATATGCTTGACTGAGGAAACGGTCAGTCCTCCTCTGTCGGGGTGGCCCTCCTCCTCCAGAGAGGGCACAGCTTTGGGGAGGGAGGAAGGGGAGCCCGCCCAGGCAGCCAGATCAGCAGAATCAACCCTAGATCAATGGGGTGACAGATGTCAGAGCCACACCGGCCTCATGTCTTCCCTTGGGATTTTTAAACCTTACCGAAACCTGTAGTTTAGACTTTTTTTTTTTCCGATGGTACTGCTGATTGAACCTAGAGCATCTGCCACTGAGCTTTTTAAATTTTTTATTCTGAGACAAGGTTTCTCTAAGTGGCTAAGTTGTCCAGGCTGGGCTTGAACCTGTGACCCTCCTGCCTTAGCCTCCCTATCCTGCTTAGTCTGTGTCCTGGGCTGAATGTCTGTTCATGCTCAGGAGAGCTGGACTGTCCCTGGGAACCTGCCCCAGCTCACACTGGCAGCTTCCTGTGTTCTGGCTCTGCATCTGCTGTGACCTAGTGGGATCCCAAGGTCACATCCTCTCGGGTGTCATGGTTTCAGTGAGGGGCCCTGGTGGGCCCCATGCGCCCACTTCCCTAGCCACTTCCTGGGGGTGTTGAAGTCCCCAAGTAAGACGTGGCCCCGGGCTCTGTGGCACGGGGTGGCCGTTGTCCTGCTTGGAGACGGCTCAGGCTCTGGCTCAGATGGGGGCTGTGCCCTGGGCGGAGTCTGATCCTCTCTGGGGAGCTGGGGGGAGGGGCACAGCTGGCTGACAGGGCAGCAGGGTGGCTTGGGGTCCTTGAGGGCCCCCCTCTGTACTCTGGGCATCAGCCCCCCTCTTTCCTGTCTCCTGCATTGGGCTGGGATGGGCGCTGTCCTTTTCAGTGGTTCCAAATAGAGCTTTGTGGCCTGGCCACCTACCCCAGGGCCTGATAGCTGTTATCATGGGACGCCTTGGGGACCTGCCAGCTTCCCCCTCCACATGGCCGCCCTGCTGATGTGGGTGCCTGGGTGGCTGTTGCCTACCTGCTGCCCCTGTGCTCTGGGTACCTGCTGCACCCAGGCACTTACTGCAGGGCCTGGCGCGACCCTGTTACCTGCTGTCGTCAGCGACCCTTTTGGGACTCCCTTTGCAGACTCCATGGCAGTCCATGAGTCACATGTGTCTGTGTGAGGGACACAGGGACTCCCTTCCTGGTGCCTTGGCCCGCTCCCCAGCACAGCCAAAGTGCCCTCCAGTACCCCAAGGAGCTTGAGAAACTTGACCTCATTCCTTTCCACGGGGTGGTTGTCCTTCCCTGAGGGAGGAGAAGAGAAAAGAGGTAGAGAAGGCAGATGGCAAAGATGGAAGCATGAAGTCCTATGTCCTGTGGGGCAGGGACACTCTGCAGCGCCTGACCCCTGCACACCTGGTTTCCTGAACAGCAGGGCAGGGCTACAGTTCTCCTGCTGGTCCTTGGGCGCCTGGGCTTTGCACACTGTGCTTTCTGTGCAGCAGAGCCCTAGAAGTCAGGCCACTGGTGATGCACGTGCACACACAGATTAGGACTCAAACAAAGGTACGAGTTTTTCACAGTTCAGTCCCACGGCAACCCACCTGGGCTGTGTCAGTGTGTGGGTGTTCAGGAAGCATGGGGGTCATCAGGGTGCTGTGGATGGGATTCCAGCTGGGGAACCGAGCTTGGTGGCACACGTTGGAGAAGCACTAGCACCCTTGCCACCCTCAGCACGTTCGGATGTGAGTGTTTGCCTGTGACTGCCCTCTAAGTGGTCCCCTGTGGGGTCCTCCACATACCCTTTGTCCTCCGCACTGAGCTGCTGCCTCAGTGGAGCAGGGACCTCACCTGTCACCTGCACAGGGCACGGGATCAGCGCGCGGGGTGTGTGGAGTGTGGTGCCCGGCTCTGCACCACTGTCCTTCACCGAGGAGAGTGCTGAGGAGACATTGCTCATTTGGCTCAGCCTGGGCGGAACCAGTGTGGCTCTGACGCTGCAGTCACTGGACAAACAGTCTTTGGTTCCTAAATTTTTGTGGCCCGGTGTGTCCATAGCAGGGCAGTCAACCCAGCCGTACGGTCTCTGCTGCAGCCTGGGTGTTGTCTGTCCTCCACCCCCAAGCCTGTGCGTTAAAGGCTCGGTCGCTAGTGCACGGTGGAAGGCGGTAGAACCCTTGACAGGTAGGAGCTTGTGGGAGGCCTTCGGGTCACAGAGGGTGGGCCTTTCCAGGAGGTGGTGTCACCCTGGTCTCGGCTTTCTCTTTGGCTTCTGGGCTGTACTTGAGTGGTCTTGTTCTGCCTCACTCAGGCCACAGGCAGTGGGGCTGTCGATCATGACTGCAGTCCCCAACACTGAACCAAAATAAACCTTTCCTCTGTAAGTCAGTCATCTCGAGTAATGTGTTATAGTGATGGAAAGCTGACCGCCACATTCCCTGAAGACCACATCGTGTGCTTCAGCACGGCACCCAGAGGCTGGTCC